TCCCTCCCTTCCTTATTACCTTGCAACAGGGACTCTTACTAAACCTGGTGACTGCCAGTCCACAGGGAGCCTCCTATCTCTGCCCAACATGGGACTAGGGCTATATATGCATTTGAGGTCATACTCAGCTTCCTACACACACACTAGGATCTGAACTCCGGTTCTCACATTGTGTATCAATTGCTCTTACCCACTCAGCCACTTTGTCCTCCCACCTTTCTAAACATTACTTTGTAAATGAAGAAAGTACCTTACCTGGTAATGTGAAGATAGTTAAATCCTTGTTGATGACAGTTTAAATGGGAACATTTCATGTATACTTGTAGTTTTTAATTTTGAAAATAAAAATATTTTACAAAATAAGGTCTTTCAGAAACTAGAACAGCTCAGTCTGATGTCTCATATGGGTGACATGTATGACTTTAATGTTGTCTTTGTCTTTGACAGCGCCCATGTTCATGGCCCCTCCTTCCGTCTATCCACTCTCACCACACTCCCTCAATGTCTCTTGGGAGAAGCCTGCAGAAAACTTTACAAAAGGAGAAATTATAGGGTACAAGATCAGCATGGTTTCTGAATATTCCCCTCTACAAGATGTTCCCATCATGTGTTCAAAGGTATTTTTATTTTCAACTCATTTCCTTCCCAAATTGAATTATGGCTCCTTTGATGTTTTATGAATTTATAGAATTCTGTAGCAGAATCCATCTCCAAATGTGTTCATCAAATGGGGCATGTTCTTTAATAGAACATCGGATGTTCAAGGTCCTGTATATGTATATATGCTTATCACTTATTTTTCTAACGTGATGAACTAATGTGGTTATAATTTTATTTCACGAGACCTGCTGTTTCCACTTAGTCTTAAATATTTTTTAAGAAGTCCTTTCAACAGCTACATACTATATAAGATAATCTGAAAATATTATTTGAACACATAATAGTTTATTTAGCCAGCCCACAATCTGTCGGTATTTATACTTTATTCATTTGGATGTCAAAATGACATTGAGAAGACCATCTCCTATGCATACTTTTTTCATATCTTCACTTCCTTGGGAAAAGTCATGGGGAATCAAATTGATCACATGATAACAGAAATCATGACAGTAGGGCTGCAAATGTGACCCTGTTGGTAAAGTGTTTTCTTAGCGTGAGTTAAACTCTGACCTTGACTCCCAGTACTGCGTAAAACTAGGTGCAGTAGCACAGGTCTGTAACCCAAGCACTGGAAAGGCAAAGGTCATTCAAGGTTACCCTGAACGACCTAGTGAGTTTACAGCTAGCTTAGGCTACATGAGACCCTGTGTCAACATTTATATATGGATATAAGTCATATGAATTCTATGAACACAATATTTGCTCAAGGCTTTGGATGTGTGGTCACATTGGGTCTTCTGGTAGCATAGCATCTACTCGAAAATGCCTCACAATATCCAGGTTCTATCTCATTGGATACAGAGGATGAGAGAGAGAGAGAGAGAGAGAGAGAGAGAGAGAGAGAGAGAGAGAGACGATCTCATTCTCCCCAGTCAGAGATGAGGGAATTTACCTTTCTAGCCTGTTTTATGGCATGACAGTGTGGAAAGTCAGAGGACATTGGTGTCAGTTATATGTAGCATCCTATGCTCTTAGCTATTCACTTTTACTTCCAAGGGACATATCCCTTCATAAGATACATTAAATAAAAAGATCTCATTGTTTTTTCCTGCTCTGTGTGGTATGTATTTCCCAAACTCCCCACACTCTGATCTGATCAGGCTCATGTCGATGACCAGAGAGGCTAACTTCGTGCATAGTATACACATGGATTACCTTGAGGTACTTCTCTTCCACATATAGTAGGTAAGAAAGGGCAAGGTCTGAAGGTCTGTCCTCTAAGAATATTTGTCTTCACTGTGGTTTCTAGAACCACCATGGGGGCAGCAGACACCTCCCAGACTAACCTTACAGCTACTTTCTAAGACAATCTACCTATCTTCTCAGCTCAGTGTTCTTCTTTCTTTGTGTTGTAGAAAGAATGCCCATGGTCTTTGTGGCATTCTTTGGGCTGGACTCAAATCTTAGATTGCCATTTTCATTATATGATACATTTTGTGTGAGTCTATCTGACCTTAAGACTTAACATACCTGAAAAGCAAAGCACCCAATGAGAAGCAACTCTACCAATACTGTCATTTGATGTTCTGTTGGATGCTCTGTTGTAATTCGAACTCAGTATCTGGCTGAGAGTGTTTAATGAATAGTTTAGGTTGTCTAGACTTTCCATCACTTTCAATGCCTTTGCTCTGAATACTGTCTATCTTGTGGCTCTTTTTCCATAAAGAATTTAAAATATTTTCCCACTGTTGTATGTGGCAGAGCCATGGGCTCTATGAGGTCCAATGTCTCAAACAAGTCATAAGTCAGCACTACAACCTAGACAGGGGACTGGGACAAGTCAAGTAGCAGAATTTCACATTGACACCACACTGATTACAACCTAAATGGTGACTATTCACCTCCAGATGAGAGTTTGTTCACAGATATTGAGCTTCTTCCTGAGGAATGAAAGATTAAAAACCCAATTAGAAATACAGATACAGTCACTTTTATTTTATTTTGAACTGGATGATGTCTTAGATGTCACAGAAAAATTGGCCTCCTAAAGCCCAGCTGATGCTTCAAATCCCCTAATCTTTACACAGTAAATCTCCTACACTCTGGAACATATCTGACGAAGACCCCCATACACTCATTTCCTGCTTATCTGATCCATTTAATACGACTTTATTGACATGGAGAACAATACCTTCAAGAAGGATTGTATGGTTTGTCTTAAATTGATGATGACCCTAAGATTGTCCTTCTTCAGTGCATAGATGACGTTGGCAGTGGTTATCTGATTACATAGTCCTAAACTTAGTGCTTTCCCTAAAATTGTCTTAATGATTACTTAATCTACCACTAGTGAAAATTTAAAATTTGTCCCACAATAGCAAAGTTGTAGGCTGTCAAGAATCCATCTACCTGTGTCTTCATTGACAGCTGGCTAGTATTGTCCAGCTCCACTACGGCACTTTAATAATTTGACATCTCTCTCCTGTGAATCCAAGTCCTGATATGACTGTCATAGACAGGTTTTTTCCCCAGAGGATGCCAGCCATAGGAGAAGAATGAGAACAGGAGAAATGGGGATTGTACTCAGAAACAACTGACAGTATAGTGGAAAGACTAAGAATCTGAGGTGCAGTGCCTCAGTGGAAAGGCATCAGCTGATTCCCTACAGAGTTCAAGAGCCAGAATAAGCTCGCTAGCTGCCACAAATGCGGCAGAAATCCGAGGCTCTTTAACTTCCACACTGTCTGTTTTCTGATACCAGCATCAGAATCATCATACACTGGGTGGGTTACAATGGCATGCATTGATCCTCTCAGATTGTAGAGGCCAGAAGACTCAGATTAGGCTCCTGGGAGAGCCATGTTCCTCCCATGTACCCTAGAGGACTTCCATAGCTGCTTCTTCCAGTTTCCTCCAGATGCTTGGTGACACTCATTGCATTGTGCCAACATATCTCACGTCTCTGCCTCATCTGCTCCACCTCCTCGTCTGTGGGTTTTTTTCTTTCCTCCTACAATGATACCAGTTGTAAGATAAAAGCTAACCTTAAATATAAGATGTGTTAACTCATTACCTATACAAATGCCTCATTTCATAAGGTAAAAGTCTCAAGTTCTGGGTAGACATGTATTTTTGAGAGGCTCTATTTAATTCACTGTGAATATATTTGCCTTTTTTCTGAGCTATCTTAATGGAGAAAATATATACATACAACACAGGTGTCTATTATTGGGCAAGACAAAAGGTCAATAAGATGCTCATGATTTTTAGCCTTCTCCTCCATCTGCATATATGACTTTTTCAGTGATCTCATGATAAAAACCTGTAGTATAATGACATGTTTTTCATTTTGCAAAGATTACAGTACAAATAATCTATAATGTTGTTGTTTAGATAAATTTATAAACAGGACTGGTGTTCTGCCTCTGATCTTTATAATCCATATTTATTATTGGCCTTTTAGCTCACAGTTGTGTTTTAGCTATTTTTTTTTTTATTCTTAGGCTCATATAATTTTGAAGTCAACACCTAGATAAATATTCCCAGTATATTTTGTTGTGTTCCTGTAGGGAAAATACCTTAGACTAAATGCTGTTACTAAACTCTGTGAGCATCTCCACCTGTGTTTATTTGTCATGTGTCATTTTATATGAATGTCGAACCTAAGGACTATATCAGTGACTACGTAGTCTCTTGAGAGAATCAAGGTCATGGTAAACACAAGATATGAGGCTGTTACTGATATAATTCAGTAGGCTTTCACCATAGCCTTTTATAATTATAAAGATCATATTCCAGTGAAAAGGAAACTGTATAGCAAATACCTCAACACCATACTCAATTTTATCATTACCAAGTCTTCTGTACTCTACACAGCTATATGACCTATAGTATTGTAGTCTTGGTGATACCGTTGATTTATATTGGCAGTACCATAAACATTTGACTGCTTGTGTTAGGCCATTAAATAGCTATGGCCTCCCTAGGTAATATAAACATTCATCTCTTAAGATTGTAAAGGGCCACAAACAATCACATATGCAGTCTAGTCCACGGTTGACCAAACCACCAGAACATAGTCTATGAGTGTGTGTTGGTAGCCCTAAGAAAAATAATTTATATTCATGATTCTGTTTCTGTGATAGTTACCCCGAATGTAATCTGTGTCTTTAGTCTAAGTAAGTTTTCATACTTGCTTGTGATTGGTCCTTATCATGATAGGATGAAGTCTGTGTTGGCTGTTTAACTATTTGTTTCTAGTCTCCCTCTCCATCCCCCTCACTTAGACTTTGTACTTTCAGTTGAAAACGTAGGATGATAACAATATTTCAGAAACATGTAACTATCAACCTAATTGCACCATGGCATTGTCCCATGCACTACCATCAAGTAGCATGAGGCATCCCCACCCTGTGCTACTGTTGGCTTGGTTTGGACTTTTTCACAGTAAGTGTGTCAGTGTCGCCATCTTTATCTCTACCATTGGTGACAATAACCATACATCCATGCTGCTTTATGAGGCCATAACTCCGTCTTCTCAGTTATCCACTCAGGAATTGCATTATTACCTCATAAAGCAGTGTGATTGTACAATCATCAATTAAACCTCAGCTTGTTGAGACTTTTTGGGAAATCTCTTTCCCAAATAGGAATTGGCACCAATTCCCTCTGTTTGAATTTTGATTTTGAATGCCAAGATTGTATGCTGTGCGTGTGTTGGTTTTTTAGCTGATTACTATTACTGTTATTTTGCCTTGAAGCTGGTGCATTTTGCTAAGTCCCAAGACAAGTCTTACATCATAAAGGGACTCGAGCCTTACAGACTCTACAGCTTTGCTGTTTCCATCTGCAATTCAGTGAGCTGTGTAACCAGTGCTTTGGGATCGGGACAAACCCTAGCAGCAGGTAAGTACGTTCCAATGAATATCAAGAAATATATTCACGTTGAGAATAAATTAAATACCTACAGGTCTCCTGCACTTTGGACTTCATATATGTCTTTTCTGTTCTCTGCTGCTTTCCCAGCAATTCTGAATGTGGTTTATCTTGAGTTTTTAAACAAATCAAAAACATATAACCAAGGGTTATGAGCACATCAGAAAAGCCCCAGGCTGGATACGGAAAGAGAATAGTTCCTGCGCTCAGCATCTAACTAGGGTCTCCGAATTTTCCTGAGATGCACTTAGGAGTGATCCTATGAGGTCACATGATATTTCCTCCTTACATTGTTGAGTCTATTGACTCCTGTCCTATGATGCTCTCTGGCAATGTCTAATTTGCCTGCTACTAGATGTTTTATCTATTTGATAGGCAATTGTTCATATACTATTTTATTCATGATTACTAAGGATCCCCTAAGTCTGGACAATGTAATAGGAGACTTGTTAAATCTTATAATGTGGTTTATATTATGTTTGCTTGCATTACTAAGAGCCAACAAGATTTACACAAAGCTGGCCACTTGCATCGCCACCATCTATATGCTCTATTTCATTTATCAGTGTTTCTGTCAGGTATTCTGCAAGTCTCAGCTTCTCTTTTTGGGGTGTGTCTGCATGTACAGAGGTTAGGGGATTCCCATAAGAATTATAAGTATTATATGAACATATGTTTAATTGTCACCCTACAGGCTGTAGGTCTAATTCTAGCGTTTCTGTCCTCATTTCTGAGAAAAATAATTCAGTTCAAATTATGTCACACAATTACTATTGCTTGTTACAATTTTCAGTTGACATGAAGGACATCCAAATTCCATGACAGTGTGGTTTATTACTTCAAAGACTTACTTACTTGTGTACTGATATGTTTAATCTATATATATTTCAGAGGTGTAAGTACATTAAGGAGTACCCAGTGTATTAAATCTTATGGAGTCTATACTTTTCCTATAAGCCTATTTATTTTTATGAATGCTGTGATTCAAAGATAATAAATTTGAATAAGATGGGTGGATTCTATCTACTTTAGGCAAAATAAATGATATAATTTTGGACAAAATTTGAAAGGACATTCAATCTCACAGCTTGAAGAAAATACAATGGAGGTTAAACACAAGCTGAAGATTGACCTCTGGTAGAATATTGGATGGAGAACCCTAGCAATGAGGCTAGTCATTGCTAGGACCTCAGCTCCCCATTAGGCAAAGAACTGTGAAATCATCCAGTGCTCTTGGATACCCAATGTACCTGAATTCATAGTAACATCTTCCATGTATTTGTCTAATCTGTATCAGATTCAATTCCTGGCAACCACATGACAACCCATAACCATCTTCAACTTCAGTTCCAGGGCATCCAGGCCTTCTTCTGGCCTCCATGGGCAACAGACACACAGCTGGTACACAAACATATGTGTAGACAAAACAACTATATGTATAACATAAGATAAAATAAATAAAAATTAAAGCAAAATAAAATTTAAAAATTTGTGTCAAATGACAATGTGTCGTTTATAGCACAAAGTCAGTTATGTACCCCTAAGCATGTCATTGATATAGTATCTTGTAAAATCTCCAATTAGAATGCAGCTATTGAATGTTCAAAAGTCTGTGGGACTCATAAAGGCAATGCACACGGTGTTTAGTTTAAGGAATTAGCATCTAGTAGAATGATTGGCATGAGAATATGTGCTAGGACTCTCAGCAGAAAAGAAGCCATAGGGATAGAGCAGAGGATGCATGGCTTTGAGTTTGGAGGTTAGACAATCAAGTCACTGTGTGCTACTGTAGATGGATTTGGTTGATTGATAGAGACATTCATATCTATTTACTGAGTGTATAAAATGTACTAGTCACAGTATTAGGGGTTGGCACTGTTCTAGCTATTGCTATGATGAAATTTGTGGTTTACTAAGACCTCTCTGGTAATACCTTCTGAGGGGATATGCATAGGTTCTCAGAGTCTTTCTCAGTGAGGACTAAGAGACTCTGTTCAATGTGTAGAAGTGAAGATTAGCAGATGACATTGGGTGGTATTATAGGGAAACTATCCACTGGTTCAGAAGAGGGAAAGACTGAAGATGACAGTAATAGCGTGGTGTTTCTGTTCAATGAAATGAGAAAGATAAACAGATGGGAAAACAAACCCATGTGTTTATGTTTGATCACTTGGTGTGGCCATGGCAGCTACAGGAGCATACAAATCTGATGGTTAAAATGTTGCTGATTTTATAATCACCTGTAGAGAGATAGAGGGAGATCTATGCACGGTGCAAGTGAGTCAGTGAGGGAGAAAAGATGAAGGGATACAGGCTGGGATACAGGGGAACATAGGGGCAAGTGCATGTGTGTGGGGACATGGCAAGAGAGAAGCAAGGAAACAAGGGAGATCAGAGAAGGATTCCCATCTGGAAAGTTCTAAAAGGGGCTTGTAACTTTCAATGTCATACGCTGTCCAGAGAGCAAGAGAGGCACACATAAAGATGGGGGGGTGCGTATCCCTGCAATGGCCTGAGCTAAAGCTGGGTATAAAGGACTGAGCAGTAGAAGATGATGCCTTAAGAAAATTCAAAGGTGGTTCTCCGAAGTTTTGATAAACATTTCAATTTACCCAGTTTCTACTTAAATCATTACATTAGCTTCTGTTCCTGGGGGAAATCTTTTCCATTCTGATGGAAAAATTGTTCCAGTGGCTTTCAGAAAATACAGAGAGCTTAGTGTTAGCCATCAGTATAGACTGTCAGGAATGCGGATTCTCATCTGCCAATAAAAGTAATGGCATGCAATGATAGTGGGAAGATGTTTTTGTCATGTTTGTTTCAGTGTAAAATGTACCATTTGCAGATATATTCAGATCAGCAACAAGAAAAATTAGCTTTTATTTGCCTGCAAGCAGAGCTCAGTCAGTAGCTACTGTATTCTTCATGCCTCTTGTTTTCAATAGGTGCTTGTTTCTTTCTAAATAAGACTCATAGGCTGGACATCACAAAAATAAGCAAAGAAAGTTGACCATCCACTGTATGACTCTCTCTGCTCTATTACTTTTGTAAACTCGCAGTGGGTCTGTAGGCCATTTAACTCTTAAGTCAAAGTGGAGGCATGGAGGCCTGCCATTCAACAGCATTGTAGTGGAAAGTCACCAATCAAGATAGGCATTTAGCCACTTAGAAGTGAGGGGTCACGACAGTGGCTTCTCTTCAGTACAATATCTGTCACTATTTTTTAAAAGATAATTGTGAAGTTTTATCGGCTGTTTTCATGGAAAATCTTGAGAAGCAGATGATTTAATTTAAATATTTCAAGTGCATTGATAGAACAGGTGCACTTCACTGTGAGTACTGTATCAGATCTGGGTTTGGTACCTGCACAGTTCTGAACAGATCTGAGGGATGGGGGTCTCCAAGGAGCAATTGAGAAAGCTTGCCTTAACCGTTGTGGAATCACTCCTACTTATCTCGGGGAAGTTACCAGATGAGCTGGACCTTCTTCAAATCAAAGTTACACATCTACAAAATTTTATCCTCTTCATTGAGGAAACTTGTAAATTTCTTTCTATCTTTTTCACAGTCTGTCAGGCTTAAATCTTCCTTTGGGAGATTCATTTCTAAAGATATATTGTGTTGTTTTCTTTACCTGTCACTGGCTTCTAGACTAGAAGCCGAGAAGTGCCTGTCTTTTAAGCAAGTAGCTAGAGGTGTTAAGTTTTCTCTCTGAACCTAAAGTAGAGTGTAGATCTCCTTTCTCCTGGGTTGGAAATGTGGCTTGTTTGAATGCAGGGGACATAAGTCTTTTCATTGTGAATAGAACCCAGAGTGATTAAACAAGCACTCTTAATATGTTAATTTATACTTTTAATTACAACAATCTTGTCTATATAGTCATTAGTGAATACTAATATAAATATTTTTCCACCTCTTTATTCCTAGAGTGTAAGGCAATCATCCAGTTCTTTCTGTGAGGTTGCCAGTTTCCGTCTCATAATTCCATCTTTGTTCCTAGTTATGAATGCATTTTGTTCCTTCCTGTCTTGAATAATCCTTCATTAAGCTAGTCGCTTTCTGCTCCATGCTAAAAAGGAAAAATTATCATGCAAATGTGGCAGGCCATATTAAAAAGCACATCGCCCGACACTTTTTGTCGCTGTCCTTCAATTAGTTTCCCTTCTTTGAATTTAATTCCATTTGTTGTTAAAAACTACTGACTTGATGTATGGACTCGTGAATCCGAGGCTGCTGCCAAGAAAGCGAGGGGGAAAAAAAAATCAAAGGCCCTTGGAAGATCTGCAGAGCCGAAATGAATTCGCTTCACCTTTGACAAGAACACTTGAACAGCCCCGGAGTCCTCTGATGATTCGACCTGGCTAATTATCCAATTATTTATTTCAAAAGCAAAGACGGCGTTCTACAATGAGAGTGGTGTAAAGCGGCCTGAAAAATTTGGGAGCAGCAGATGACTTAAGGCCCATCCAAGATAAAGAATATCTGCACAGAAACTTGGCTTCCCTCCTGTGTGCCAACCATGGGCGCTCCCCTACCTCTCAGGAAGGAGACCCTGACACACGGACACTTTTTGTCTGTTTTCTTTCTCAGTGGAGATTATTTTTGCACTCACAAAAACCATGTCAAATTGCCAGGGCTCTTAAGCAATATTTAAGTTGTATTCCTCTTGATTAAAAGCTTTTGGTTCAAAGCAATACTTTTTAATTGCCTAATGATATAAGTCAGTTCTTAGAGGAAAAAAAACCCGCACATTTAGGAGTTCATTTGCGATATAACTGAAAAATTCATTGCATGGCAGTAAAACAATTTACTGTTAATTACAAGGAGAAGAATTTGCTGTAGCATGCTCACAGATTGCCATGAATCATGCAGCTCTCCTAGAGATTTATAACAGATGTGTAAGTGGGATGAATTAGCAGGGTTTAATAACAGAGGCACAAATCATGCAGACTTCAAGGAGCTTTAATTGA